CTTGTTTTTTTTTTTTTTCTGAATTTTGGTTTTTTTTTTTTTTTTTTTATGTAAAAGATGAGAGACTTGAACCTTTCATGTTTTGTAGATCGGTCATGCCTGGCCCTGTGATTTTTAAACCAGCCAACCCTGATGTTATGGTTAAAACTCAAAAACAGTAGGATTCCAAAACTTACTCTGTCCGTGACCTGTATCCTGAACCAGTCTGCTTGCCAATCTGTGCCTCCAGGTCTTGCTCATGGGCGAACCTTAACCTTAAGACCTTCTCCACATCACTTTTCTTACACAGACCTGTGGCTTCCTTTCACAATTCACATTCCACTCTTAGATTCTGTGCTTTTCAGACATGCCAGTGAACACCCGACCCAATAAACACTCCTGGCACACCCCCATAGAGTCCGGGTCTGCCAGCCTCCCCTTGGTCCTGCACGCGTCCCTTCCTGCAGAGACCCTAGATCCTATGAAGCCAGGCAGGGAGGGTGCTGAGACCTTTATCAAAAGAGAAATTCAGGGACCTCAGAGTGAAGACCACAAGGCTATCACTTTAAAAACCTTCCCTCTTCTAACGTTTATTTGAAAGAGGCACTCTCAGGAAAGGTTCATTTCCTTAGAATATCAAAGAACTAAAAACCAAAAGATGATAAATTTTCTGTAGACAGACTGCAAAGTATATAAATAAAATTCTGCAAAGTGTACAAATAAATATTACAAAGAATTCAATTCTGCTACAGTTGTCCACCATCCTCAATATTACATTTAGCTAACTTAATTTTCTGTGGATCAAATTTATTCAAAGTTAAATTTCTCTTAAGAGGTCATCTGAGTAAACAGTTTCAAGTGTTATTTGCCAAAAAAACAATATGTTTCCAGGCTCCAGATGAAATCGGCAGTGTCGGGCTAAGAAAACAACCTTAAAATTCACAGGAATAATTGCAGAAAAATTGGAGCCTGGAGGTCAGTCTTTTTCATGCAGTTCTGGAGGTAAAAGTCACAACTTTGCACCAAAACCAGGTCTTTGAGGTGCAGAGAAGACTATCACTGTGGGGTTTTTTTGTTTAAATCCAAAATATGCAAAGTAACATGTCTCTAAAGTAGCAGCTGTCACATGAAGAAGACGCATCTCCCACATTTCACACCATCAACAGACAGTACTGTCACTCTATAGTGGCATCCTGTAACCTAGCATTCCGCTGGCTGGTCCTCCAGGCTCCTGGTTTCAGAGAGGGACAGGGGAAAGGAAGAGAGAGAGGTGGAGGAGGAGAGGAAAAGGGAGGGAGGGAGAAGGGCAGAGAAAGGAGAAGGAGGGTGTAAGTATGACATGGAATTTTTCAAATGCAAAGTAGTCATTAAGGGAAGCGGAGAGGATGTGTCTTGGGGTGGGAAGTCTTGTAAATCTCAGATCTTAAAATTTTTTGGAATTAGATTTGTGTGGTAGAAGGGATAAAAGGTGTAAATCAGTTGCATAGTTTATTTCTTAGGTAAGGAACAGGATATGAGAGGCAAATCAGCCCTATACCTGAATACAGGCAGAAAAGATCATTTCTTCTGCAGTCTCTGACTCTACTTTAGTCTAATGGCATTAAAACCAAGTCTTGTGACATCATAAGCAGCACTAATTACACTTTATGACAATAGCCAAATTAACTCTTCCCTGTGATTCTGATGCCATTATTTGTATGGCCGCAGCACACACTGATATACCTCAAACATTCAGCTGTAAAAAATCATTGCTCCCAGAGCAGAGAGAACCCTGACACATTATCTTTATAATACGCCACTGCTCTTCTGGCATCACCACAAATAGGAAGGAAGCCAGTCTAGAACCATCTTACTCTCTGGGCCCTACACTGAAGACTTTTGAGAGCAGACACTGCTACATTCAACCAATACAAGTAATATTCATTACCTGCAGGGCAATTGTGACTTAAGGAAAATTGGCCAATGCTTTGTGAACGGACCTTAGGTTACCCCAGTTTAGTTCTCTCAAACTACAGAAAGTCAGAGGCAGAGATGAGTGCTTTTCAGATTTATTTCTAAATCAGGACCTTATGGTTGCTCTAGCTCTTGACTTTTCTTCATAGAATATCTATTTAGTCAAGACTGAGAAACAGACTTCCAAGGGCATTCTGGAAAGCGTGCCTGCACAACAGGGGATCAAGTGAGTAGGTGACGATGTTTTGACCAGTATCCCTTGGGAGTGCTGTGCTCATTTCTATGGTGGGTCACCCGAGGAAGTTGCTGTCGACCAAATCTGTCAGGAGGGGCTAAGGATGCAGCTTCATGACCCACAGGCAACAAGAGGGCTGGGTGCCCCCTGCAGATGGCAGGATGTTGGTGAGTTCCGTGCAAGAGGCACCGTGCCTCTACAACAGAGGACCATGCAAGAGGCACCAGTTACTCACACTATTACTTCATTACCAAGTCTCACAGGAGTCGTGAAAGGTCATAATGATTATCTCAATTTCACAGAAAAGCAGAAGCTTGGAGAACCTGACTAGTTTGCCCAAAGCCTGCCATTTCCAGGCTTCAAAGTGAAGATGGAAACCCAGATGAGTGTGACCCCAAGAACCACGTTATAGATGGGGCTCTCAGATTTACATATCTCTTCTGTATCCCTGAGTTGTTTACAACTGAGTTGGAAAGACAGGAGATAAATCAAAACACAAATGGAAATTCCAGACCAGCCTGTTCAGTAAATCCTTCAGTGATGACAGAAGGATTCCGTGATCTGGGCTTCCAGGTCCCTGAGGAACCTGGAACCTCCCTCTTTCCTGGGGACCACCCTGTTACAGTAGTCACTAGTGACAAGCAGCTACTGAGTATTTGACAGATGGCTGGTGCAACAGGGCAGGTGAATTTTTAATTTTATTGAATTTGAATCAATCTGAATTTAAGTGACCACTGAAGGTCCATTTTGTGCAGCACCAAAAAACCATTCAGAAAACAGAGTTCCTGCCACAGCCAGTGGTGGTCAAAGGAGACCTTGTGAAGGATGGAGGCTCTGAGCAGCCCACGATGTGTAAGGTTTGAACAATACCCTTCCTGTTTCAGGCCGGATCATCTTCCTTACAGAATTTGGTTCAGAGTCAAGGGCGCCAGAAATTGAGACCAGTCACTGTATCCACAGATGAGGAAATCAAGAACACCCCGCCTGGCTCCATATTCTTTTTGGACCAGCTCTGTGTACTTCCTCCCATTGTCTCCTGAAGTCGATCCTCTCCGTCCCTGCGTCCTCTCTGCCAACACCATCACATGTTGGGGTTCTGCTCTTTTAAAAAACGTGGCCACCTGTCATTTCCTCTCTTGCAATGATGGCTTTTAATGTGCTTTATTCTTCTACACCTGTCACTCTGAGAAAGGCATTTCCTGATACAATGAACAATGCCTCTCACACACAGATGGCTCTATCAACCTCCCCACACAGCCCCAGCATCAGGAAAAAGAGTCCTTCCATCACCACTAGCCCTGCAGTTGGTCATGACTCCCCACACCCTGCAGTTGGCCATGACTCCATCCTACATCCTAGTAGTTGTAGAGAGATGTTGAAAATATCAGCAAAGTGTACTTGGCAATGACCAGCACCATTCCTGCCCTGCCTCACAGACCAGTCCACAGCAAATGCACACCTCTCAGAGCACACATGGCTCTGTGCCCTCGGTGGGGCACTTGAACCAATCATACCACTTGCATTTCTAGCTCATATAGCTGCCCGTGTGGGGCAGAACACCCTAAACTTCCAGGGTGTTCTGTATTAGAATTTAATAATAGTCACAGCAACTCTTGAATTCTCCAGCTGGAGGAATACAGATCATGTAGGGCTGTTAGGTGTTTTGGGCTACAGGAAGATGTTAATCTGTTTTTAATTCTTCCCAGTTCTGCTTGGAGCCTATTGTTAAGATCTTCATTATGGTGGGGAGGGGCACTTGTACCCACCTTCCCAAAACAGCAGTCACAAACCTTCACAAACACCTTCTGACCTCAAAAGTATAAGATTCTTTGGGCTGCAATGAAGACTGTTTATGTCCTTTCAGCTGGACATCAAACATGAGATAGGACTTTGGATGTGGGATCAAAAAGCTATCAGTCTTCTGAGCCCTGAAAGGGGCCCATGTGAGGCCCAACTTCCCCTTTGGCAGGAAAGAAAGGCCAGCAGCTGAGAAGAACAAGTCAGCGGAGGCCAAGCACAGCCAGTCCATCCCATGGTCTTTGTGCAGTCCATGAGCTAAGAATCGTTTTCATATTTGTAAAAAACTGTAAAAATAATTGTTTTAAATATACCATCAACATAGCATATGGTCTACAAAGTCTAAAATATTTACTGTCTGGCCATCCCTGGAATGGGTTTTCTGCTCCCTGGTGTCAATCAGTAGGGGCCTCATCTGTCCAAAAAGCACTTGCCACTTTCTGAGGTCTGGTGAGTTGGATCCTAATAATTCCTAGTCCCCTTGATTCCCTTTGTGCTTGTCTTCCCTTTTAGTTCAATAGTAGCAGAAATAAAAAGTCCCCTCTGAGAAAAGGCATGACAGACATCAGGTGTAACAACTAACAAACGATATAACTAACAAATGAATACTCACTTCTTCCAAGAAGATGTTCATCATAGATGAGGATCCTTTCAAGCCCTGTTTCTTTGTGACAGAAACAGGCTCCCAATTAAAAACCAGTCCAAGAGGATTCAGGAAGCAAAGTAAAGCTGACCACAGCTTCACTGTTTCCCATCTGACACTACCAGCATCCACACTTGACACCAGTGCAGAATAAGGAACATCAGTGGCTTTGACTTACCTTTCCCCAGCTCCCCTAGGAAAAGAATACAGAGGTAGGAACACATCTGAATGGTCCCCTGCAATCTCACTTTTTAATTGTTTAGATACCTGCCCGAAATGTCCTTAAAGTATCTGTGCATTCAAACTCAAAAGAAAAACACGGCATCAAACTCTTCCTTAGTCATGACCACAGAAATCAGCCACCACTGCCTGGAGCACAGTCATCAACGTTACCTGGTTCAGTGCAGTTCTTGCTGCTCTGGAGTCCCGCGTCTTCTGAAGTTACAGTGTTGTTCATCTGCAATAACTTCCTTCCCACTATCCAGTTTCTGTCTTCCCCTACGAGGTCCATGAAGTCAAGGTCTGGGAAGGAAAAGAGAACAACACATCACCAATAGCTGGGTTAGCCTTTACCAGTGCTGGGTGCCAGTGCCCTAAACAATCATTTGCCTATACCCCCTCAGGCCTTACAATGTACAGCTGCCCCTTGAACAGCAGAGGTTTGAACTATGAAAGACATTTTATATGCAGATTTTTTTCTAGCCAAGGTTCCACATTCATAGTCAACCAACTGCTGGTACGGATTGGTTGAATCTGCAAATCCGGAATCCACTGACAGATACAGAAGTCTGACTCTTTTTACGAGGATTTTCAACTGCATGAGGGAGAGGGTTTTTAGATTTGTAAAGAATTGTAAAAGAATTGTAAAGAATTTGTAGAGAATTGTCAGCACGCCTAATATCATTCCAACTTCTGCTCAAAGATCAACTGTAATTCACCCATCCTACCTTTAACTGCCTGAGGGTTTCCTCTGGCTGCTGGATCCTACCCGATCCAACAGAGAGAATGACTGTAGAAAAGGAAATAAAAATACATCACAGCTCCAATGGGATAGCTATGAGGTGTGCATTATAAACTGGGTTCAAACTTTTTCCCACTAACATTAAATCCCAATTGTCTATAGTATAATAGTCCATACACTTTATTGGCTGCTGTCCTACCTCATCTTAATTCTCTGCTGCCAATAAAATGCTGAGGAATATTTAACCATCAAACCTTTAGGTGAAAAAGTCCTATTTGTAGTCGCTGACCAATTTTCACAGTGTAAATATCCCCTTCAGGACCAAGTTCAAGCTACCAATACGATCTCATTGAACATGAACTGGGACGAAATGGACACAGCTAAGTTCACCAACTCAGTATGACTGGCCCCAGCCCAACAACTTCTACTCCCCTAACAGTATTTCCTTGAATCACCTGCAAATGATCTGCTTCTGGGGGTTGGCCAAGCTAAGACACCATTTCAACATCCTCATAGCAAAGGCTAGAGAATGACATATAGTAAGATTTGATTAAGAAGAGAGAAAGTAGGCCTCCCAGCTGGCGCAGCGGGTTGAGCACAGCACTGTACAGCGCACGTTCAATTCCCAGCTGGCTGGGGAGCTACCCACATGGTGCGACAGACCTGTCCTGTCTCACCCAATGCTCCCCTCAGCAGTGTATTTTGGTCCGTCTACCTGTTTTGCTCCCCACTCTGTCTCTGGTGAATCCTCTCACCCTCCTGCATCTCTGACCTGTACCCCAGCTCTTGTATAAATAAAAAATAAATCCTAAAAAAAATTAAAAAAAAAAAAAGAAGAGAGAAAGTGATGAATAAGGAACAAGCAGACCCCTGAATGCACGTCAGGGGATGAGCATGTAACAATGCTGAAGTTTCTAACTGAGATGATTATCGAAGGGTGTGAGACACAAATGGATGGGTTCTTCTGGCAGGGGAAGGGAGAGAACAAAAGAAAGGGGATGGAAGAAGAAATCTTGGGGACCTAGACATCCCATCAGAGAGCAGAGTAAAAGAATTCAGTAAGGGACCATGAAAAGGAAAAGAACAAGGGAAATAGTGTCCCAGAAGCTAGGGAAAAAGAGAACTTCAAAAAGGGGAAGTGGCCAATAGCCTGGACCACTATGGTCATATCACATAAAGACATGGGCAAAGAAATGACAGAGCTGGACATTCGGAGGTCACTGGGAGGTAGAAACAGCAAGCAAAGGTGGTGCTTCCTAGTGGTTTGGCACTAAAGAAAGAGGTGACCTGAGGTAATGGCTACTTCTTGAATGTCCAGAGTTGCTGTGGTCAGAAAATAGTTCTAAATATAAGACATAGGTGAAATTTGTAGTCCTGGCAGCCTTCACAGGAGGTCAGAGTGTACCACTTACATCAATGCAGTGTTCTGGAATGGCTGATGAAGAGCTGGATGTCCGCATGCCCATTCTGAAAGTCATATCCATTCCTCTATTTCCATAGTGATTCATAGTTTCCCAAATGGTTTCACCATCCTTATTAAGCTTGATCCTCACACCACCATCCAGGAAAGAAAGTAGGTGCATGACATTGTCTACTTTGTCTACTGCAGTCTCACTAGCACCTGATCACTGCTGGCTCAGAGTAGCTGCTCACTAATTATATGTCAACACCACCGGATGGTGTCACTTATATGTGGAATACAGAAAAACCAAATTAAGAGTCAAAGACAAATACTAAAACCAACCTTTGGAAGCTGACCAAAGATCTGCAACTTTGGGGGAGAGCACAATGGACTGTGGTAGAATATTCAGTAGTGGGAGAGCTATAGTGACCACACCTGAAGGGGGACATCCTATACTGTCAAAACACTAGCAAGGATGTAAAACAATGTTACTTCAATAGGTATATACAATAATAATAAAGTAAACAAATAATTATTATTCCCACTTTGTGGATGTATAAGTGAAACTCATGGAAGTTTCTGGAAAGCACAGTATTTGTGAGTACTTCCCCTAAATTAACAAGACGCATGTAACTTCAGCAGTTCATTGCGCTCCCCTCAATCAGAAGAAACCTGCTCCCAGATGTAAAATAATCAGGTTATCTAATTATAATTTTTGTGTATTACAGACCAGGATAACCCCTAGGTTTATTCTAAAGAAAAAGTAGACTGTGGAGCCTATCTAGAATAAGCAGTAACTATAGACTTTGAAATACAAAATCTTACATAGTGGTCACCTATACCAGTTCAGCAAAAATTGTGAGGATGATACTAAAGACAATCCGAGCTTAAAGCAAGGCATTCTATATTCTTGGTTAACCTGAATGGTTACTTCTCATCTTTAAGAACAGTGATAAGTGGAGAAAAACTTTCAAAAGTTCATGCAGAAGCAATAAGGTCAGTGGTCTTTAAATTCAATAAGCAGCAATAAAATGCGAATTTTATCCATTATTATCATAAATGATCTAAAATTATGGGGAAAGATATCCAGTTTGTCTCAAGCTGGGTTTTCACAGAAGCTGTTCCTGAGATGAGGTTTATATGGGGGTGATCCCAGGAATAGGGAAATTGGCAAGGGAAGGGGAGACAATCACTGAAGGGTACATTTCAAGCAATAGTCAAAATGAGTAAACTACAGCTTGACCGCTTTGGAAAGTTCTGGCAGCCAGTGTAGACATGCATCTGGGACACCCAAATGGGTGACAGAGCTTAGGTATTTATCCACTTCAACACTGGTTGAAGGCTGTTCCAAGGGAATTAATTTCCTGGCACTCCCAACCATTTCCATGGTTGGGATGAGAGCCAAGTGCTAGTGTTGGCCAGTGCCAGAGTGCCCTGCATAGCAAAGACAAAGAGACGGGGGCAGGACACCCATGACATGGTCCATAAGTCACACTATGGGTCTCACAATCTGGGTCATGGGAAGTGCTTCATGGTGCTGCAAGCCTAATGCCCAGGAATACTCCAAAGATATTTGCAAAGAAGCAAGAGTGTCCCTTCCAGTGACTTCCAAACTTCTTTCTTAGGCCAAGTTTCCATGGTTCTATAATTCTGGGAGAAAAGCTGATACCAATTAAGAGATGTAAAAATAAAGCCAGCTATTGTAGCAGAAAATGAGAGGATTTTTTTTTACATAATGATTCAATATCTTCAGGAATTAGAGTCTATTAAGGCAGCACCTCTGGATTCCAAAACCTACAAACTTTTATCGCAACAAAAATATGTTTGACCACTGACCACTGATAGACTAGTGCAGACACTAGCGTAGGAGAAAAAAAAAAGGAGAAAGACAGCATTGCATTCACTTACTTCTCCCTGAGAACTAGGTGTGACAATATTATATCCCATTTCATGTGTCCTAACCTAAGTCCTGGTGAGGTAGGAAGGTTAGTTCTGGGGTCAACTTACCTTTGGAGTCAGTCAGTCAAAGAAGTGAATTGCCTAAGAAGTGAATTGCCTAAAAGTGAATTGCTTAAAATTGCCTAATGTATCCCTATCAACCATTTAATAGTTACCATTATTGTCTACTACATAGGAAGAACTTTGCATTCTCCACCATGTTTCATCTTAACAGTTTTATTAACTATTAGCTCTATTTGCAAGGAAGGAAACTGAAGCACAGAGAGGTTAAAAGACCCCCCCAAAGGGGCACAGCAAACCAGTGGCAGAGAAAGGATGGAACCCAAGCCTGGTGACCCCAAAGGCCACAGTCTTGGTAGATCCCTGGAGAAGATGAAACCATCTGGTTACATTATTCAGATGTAGTCAGAGAGATCAACAACGCAACAATGAAACAGGGTAGGGGGGGAATGTGGTCTCCCTGGACCTATCGCCAAGAAGGCCATATCCCCAGAAATGATCAGGAGGAGAGTGAGGCATGAGCATCACCCCATAAAAGCACCATCAGAAAACGGTTCTAAAACCACTCCACGCATAGCCCTCAGCTCAGTGTGGATTTCCTAGAGACTGAACAAGTTCTAGCAATCAGGACCGGGAGAGTTACATACTTGTATTTCAGGAGGAAAGGCAGAGACCATGCAGTGGGAAAAGTGAAGGGGCTATGGAGAGGTGCCCACGCTTGGAGTTTTCACTGCGCTCCCCATACTCATCTCCCAGCTTCCTTGGACTTCTCTACTACAGCAGAGGCTGCTGCGCAAAGCTACACTTGAGCAATGTCAACAAAAACACTTGGCCCCTGTCCACCGCATTCTTGGCTCTTCATCTGCCAGGCCCTGGAAGTTGCATGTTGGCCTAATTAGTCAGGGGAGGGGGTAGGGGGTGTGAAGAGGGAGGCAGCAGGCTCACATGTGACATGTCACCAGCAAGGCAGCATGTGTGACTTGGGCTCTGAGAAAGGGGTCAGGAGTGGGCCGGGAGATACTGTGGGGTGCCTGCTGGGAGGGAAGGAGTTTTCAACCTGAGACTCAAGCACAGGCACTAAGGAAGGAAAGAGGAGGCTGAGTGCCAAGTTTCCATTACAGAGCTGTGTGCTCACCCTCTCCTGCTCTGTGCTCTCTCCCCACGCCTCCTCCCTCCCCTGAACTGGGGCTTGGAAAGACC